AATTGGCGGGGCACACTTTGCACGTGCACACACTAAAAAATTCCACACGCTCCGCGCTCACATTATGCTGGGCCCACGTGCCTTAGCACCGCTGCTATGACTCCATCCTAGGGGAAACACTGTATCTTCACTTCTAAAAGGGGTAAATTAATAATCTTTTTTCTCAAAGCAATGATACACCTGTGAGTTGGATGCAGAAAAGTCAGAATCAATATAGATGTTTTTATTTGAAAGTAAATTCAGATTGAACATAGTAAAACAATTTAAATTATAGTTTCCGTCCAAAAAAAACAATTACCTATATTGAAAACCACCCTTGAATGATGGGATAGTAGACTAAAAGCTTTAGGAATCCAAACTATAACATATAATAAGTACACTGAAAGAAACAACGTGTAGGATTGACTTGATTAAATCCTAGTAAGTATTTGCACTCACCTTTTTTAAAGGGGACCTATCATGCAAAATGCACTTTTGTACGTCTTTTATACATGAATATGTGTCCCTGGTGTGTCAGGGAACTCACCAAGTGTCAGAAAACACAACCCTCTCTCTTTTCCTCCATACCCAAATCTCAAAAAACGGGGCTGCAACGGATCTGATACAGACTGATACAGATTTGAAATTGTTCTGACGTCAGAAACAGGGAGCTCCGCCTATATGGCCAACTCTCAACCTATCAGGGGAATTGGGGGTTGGGCCACGGCCGGCCATTGCCGCTCGAAAGCGCTGGAGACGCTGTAGTACATATGCCAGGCCTGTAAGTGGCGCTGTAGTCTGCCACAAAAGCAGCGAAGAAGACTTCCCGCGCATGGTTGCCATGGTTGCCCTTTTGTTTATTCTCCACTGTGGACACTCCAGCTCTTTTTCTCCCTCCCCAAGGCAAGTGTTTGCTCCTGCTGCTGTAATTCTCTCCGGTTTGCCACCAGTAGATGACAAACACCCACCACTCCGCCTCTTCCAAGGCACGAGGGGACCGTGCGGCAGAGCTTCAGTTAGATTTTTTTTCGCTGGTCAACATGTCCGTTAAAGTTTAAATAAAAATTAGAAAAGTGCTGGTCCAAGGTCTTCTTTGTTATTTATTGAGCTTTAAAACAAATGAATAATGACTCTATATAATCAAATAAGAATAAAACACGGAGGACGGAGATCTCTTTTTCTCCCCCTCTTCTGAGAGCCCAGCAGCTGATCTCAAAGCACGCTCCACTCTCCTGCAGGGGGGCGTGGTCAGCTGCAGCTAATTTGCATTAAAGCTCCGTCACAGAATCAGCCCCCTGCAAAAACAGGGATGGAAAGAGCAAATAGAGCGAAATGAGGCATGGCTAAAATGCAGGATAAACTATATTTATATACTTTATATAGGTATGGCCCTACAATATATTGTTCAAATATAGCATGATAGGTCCACTTTAAGTATATTTTACTGCTGTAATATCAAGTAGAACTTATTTTCCAGTATCAAGTTAAATGTACTTAACATTTGTGAAGATATTAAGTCAATCTTACTTAATAATGGCAGGTTACGATATACATTTTTAATTGCTTCATAAGCACCGTAACTTTCATGATACTAATTTCTCGGTCACAATAGCTTGTTTCCGTCAACGGCCGAATGTTTTGACTGCAAGGCATTGTGGGACAGCATTTTCTCCTTTCCTTTCGTAGAGGAAGGAAATTCGAACACAACTGACGTCTCATCGCTTTTAATGTATTTCTTTGTTTTCCTCTTTGCATGGTTTCCTCCATGAATCCCTGGGGGGAGGGACTAAGACGCAAGGAAGAGACATGAGGGAAGGAAACGTAGATGCAAGTTAAGAGACTTGAGATGCAGATATTTTCTGTTGAATTATATTTTTTATTCTGTGTAAAGGTACAATTGCTAGGTCTCTATGATTATTGATTAACACAGATAAACAAAGACTGTGCTCTGAAACGAGTAGGTCAAACATATCTTCTGAACATTGCACTTTAGGACAATGTGTGCATATATTCATGTTCAGGTTGATATTAGTATTTAGTGTCTGTACTGTGACATGTCTCCATGCTTTAATGTTCAAAAAGCTATTTTTTTCACCCTCAGTCTTTAAACCAGACACCAATCTGCTCTGATTGGTTTGCTGACCAGCTCTGTTGTTATTGGTCAACCGCCTAGAGATGTCGGAAATGTCCCACCCCTAAGCTTATCACATACGCTAAAAAAAAAGGGAGAAGGGGTCGGATTAAATAAGTGTAAACTTCTTCCGACCCCTTTTCAGACGTCTAATTAGCTAAAGCTTTGTTGTTTATTGATATCAGACAATGATACTATTGATTATTCAATTATGAATTAAATGTTTCGTTTTGTTATTGCATTCATTTGTATAGTACTGTATCATGTCTGTATCACCTTTTGTATCATTTGTATTTTCTTTAGTTTTACACGCTCGAAAAAAATAAATAAACTAAACTAAACATACAATGTAAACACACCTGCACCATAAGCATGTATCACATAAATACAGTGATTTGCAACGTTATAGTAAACAGCCTCAATTCAACACAGCAAAAGTCAAAGACACGTTGTTCATTTTATGCTGGTCTTCTTTTTCTGTGCAAGTGATAATATTTCAAGAATATCAAGATATTTGAACAGGGTTTGGGGCATTTACAAAAGCGCTGGAGATAGGATCAAGTTACGTTAGCTATTTAGACAAACTAAGTTTCTCATCTTTTGCCTAGTTTCAGTCAAAATTGTTGGGCACCAATGTAACGAAAACAGAGACTCTATGCAGGCTCAACTCAGATAACCGAGAGCCCGAAAGCAAGATATCTAAGCTTAAGTTGTTAGCGGCCAAAATTGTAAAGCTTGTAACCATAAAGCCTATGAGCACAGCAGTTTGTGGAGGGAACACAGGGATTTTACCCTTTGCAGACCATTTACATGCACATAAACCTATAGAACCCAAAAATCATAAAAGAGCCTCTTTTATAGCTCTTTGACTTTGTGAACTTATTGCGCATGTTTGTTTCTTCCATAGTGACGCTGATGGCTGGTCAACTCTTCAAAGTGTCCGCTCTTGCCACAGCAGTGTTTGCCTCCTCTGGGTTTTACCTATACGACAGACAGCTGAACCTCGATGATCTGACTGTGATCCGCTTTGGACGAGCTGCAGCCACAGTGAGTTAATGAGCGTTTCTGCCCATAGAGTCTTTATTTAGGGCTAGTGGATTTGGTGAAACATCAGTTTAGATGTTATATGGCCTGCATCACAAAGCAATATTGTTTGTTAAGCCATCTTTATTTCAGATTCAAACAGGGTCTCCATAGTAAATTGTGCTGACTGAGTCATCGGGATCATGACGGACAACATTTAAGAGAAGTTAATGATTTAATAGATCTACATTTATAATATGTTTCAGATCCACCTCAACTGGCTCCTATCTTTTTGCAGAATACTGAAATCTGTATTGTTTCATAGTTTTTTTCCTTCACATTTTTTATTATTTTCTAAACCACACATTGTTATTTAGTCATCAATAAGACACAATTATCCTTGTTTTTATTTATTTGTTTGATTGTCTGACTTTTTTGGAGTCTGTCAGGACAGAGAGTCGGAGCAGCTCATCACAGGAAACTGTATTTGTTTTACCGGTTTCTTTTCATTTCAAAATAAGAGTTCATTTTAATTATGTTTTATTAACTAGAGCTTTGGGTCATGTTAAGACCATCTTTTCTGTGTTGCTGTGGGGTTTTCCTATCGGTTTGGTGTTACAAATATCAAAATAATATAGTAATAAACCTTATCAGCCGTAACTATCATCCAGAAATACGTGGATTCCAGCCGAGCAGCCGACCGACGGCACGTAAAATGGAACGCAGCCAAGCCACCACAGACGACAAGACAAAACAGGATTGAAACGAGTCCACCCCCGCTATTTGTGTGTTTCGCATCATGTTCTACGGAGCGTCTCTACTGGGAATTGTACATTTAAAATACATTTGTATATTTCTCATAATTAGAAGTTGCCAGTATTAAACTGTGTACACCCCTGGAGGTTTAGGGGATAGGAAACACATTGGTTTTTATCAAATAAATAAAATATAATTGACAAATGCAGTTTTCACACATTTATCAATTATATTTTCCATTTATCAATTATATTTTCCCATGCTGCCCATTATTGACACGTGTGCATTCATATACCCACATGACAGCTAAGATCAGAAGAGCTTTATTTAATAGCTGGTTCCTGTTGTCAATTGATAAGCCTTGAAACATGCACTTGTCAAGGTTCTAGGGCTGTCCCGAATACCATTTTTCGGGCTCCGGATAGTCGGTAGTAATCAGCAGCGAATATTTGAATATTCGGTGTGGAGAGATTTGTATTTTTTTTTTCAAATTTTTTTTTTTTCCCAAAAGGTTTCATAACACGCTCCGAGACACCTGACAACACGCTGTTAAGCAGAAGCGCAGAAAGAGCATACTATTACGATTTATATTTATTGATTGTCTCAGTACTCGCACACATTAAAACTAAATGTGTCCTCTGCATGTAACCCAGCCGCAGCGCAGCGCCCGGGGACCAAATCTGGTTCCACATTCCGTCTATAACGTTTTACAACCTGAACAGTCAAACAAAGATACAAAACACATATTTCTGTTATAACAACAATACTTTTAATAACATAGCTGTAACAGTAGGCCTAACAGTGTAATACTTGTTACCGATACAGTAAACAGTCCTATTTAAATAAATGAAGAATGAAAAATAAATGAACGAACTGTAATAAATATAATAATATTACATTTTAATAAACGAACAATTTAAATACAAATAAATGAATGGCTTGGCTTTATAATAAAACAAACTGTAACAAATAGAACAAGGGAGGTAGCGCGATTGAGCGCTATAACAATAACAGCAGCATACACTTCAAGAAACGAACAATTTCTTTCCAATCTTTCAAATAAACAAATAAATCAGGTTGCAAGCTTCATTTGACTAAGCCGTAAACCAGCCTACCTACACATGTTGTGTGCGAGGAAGATGAGTTTATCCACATTCTCAGGTAAAAGTGAACTTCTTGTCTTGTTCACGATGTAGCCAGCCTTTGAGAAAATACGCTCTGACGGGGTTGAAGTGGCCGGAACGCAAAGGCAGTGCTTGGCCGCACATGCCAGTTTGGGATACCGGTCACTGTTGTGCTTCCACCATGCAAGTAGGCCAGACTGGATTGTAGTCGTGTCCCTCAAATATTTCTCCATCTCTTTCTTTGCGCTGTCTCCATCGTGTTCTTGTTCCTCTTCATCATCGGACTCAGACTGCATCAGCATATCCTGCTGTTTCTTTTTTTTGGGGGGTGGCACGGCAGTCTCCTCTTCTCTATCGCTTGTTGCCGGCTCTCCTTCCACCTCCCGAACGGTCTGTCGCTGGTGTAGATGTTCAGCCAGGCGGACAACCTTAAAATCAAATAGCATTTTATTAGTCACGTGCACAAGATAAAGTAGTGTGGCATAATAATAGTAAATATAATTTAAATTTAAAATATTAGTCTAACCTCAATGTAGACAAGGTCCTTCTTCTCGTTCGTGAAGAATTTTAAATGCTTAAATCGCTGGTCCAGTGCTGAAGAAAGGAGGTAGATGCTGCTGGGCTCCAAAAGTGACAGCTTCCATCTGCTGTCGATCTCCGTGACGAGGGTCTTCTTCACTTCTCCGATGACAGGGCTGTCATCCTCCTTCGGTGACAGGTGGCGTCTCTTCAGGTTAAAGAGCATTTGCATTGTTGCAGACAACGACACCTTCTCCTCCTGAGATAGCAGTTCTGTGAGCGTGATTAGAGGCCCCAGCACTTCTGCTGTCTCCTGTGCTAGTTTCCACTGGTCTGCTGTCAGGTCCAGGGTGCGATCTGCTTTCTTCGTGATGCTGGAATCTGACAAAACAGCTGTCACTGGCCATCGTTGCTCCACCAGTCATTCAAGCATTTCACACGTAGAGTTCCATCGAGTAGCGACGTCATTTGTGAGTGTGTGCACTACAACATTCTGCTGCTTTTGTTTGTCTTTCAACGCAGCTGTAGCCTTTGGACTTTTTCTGAAGTGTCCCACGAGATTCCTGGCAGCCGCAACTGTGCGGCGTATTCTGTCCTGTTTTAGGGCTGTATTTATGCACAGCTGTAGCGTGTGTCCTGAGCAGTAGACTCCTTGAACGTTGCCCCATTTCTCTGGTTCTTTCTTCAGCGTCTCTGTGCACAGCTTCATGTTGCTGGCATTGTCGTGGACAACGGCTACTCGCTTATAATTCGGAATGGCAAAGGCGTCCGCCACTTCTCCAAGCTGTTCTGCAATGTTTACTCCCGTATGGTTTACTTCCATTACTTTGGTTTCTAAAACAAAGTTACAGAGTTTCCACTCCCGAGTTATGAAATGACAGGTGACAGCCATATATGCCTCCATACGCACCGAGGTCCAAATGTCCGTTGTAAAACTTACGGCAGTTGAGTTTTCAATCTGAGTTACAATTTGGTCTCGGTGATCGCTGTACTTCAGAGACATGGCATCTAAAATACTGGAGCGTTTGGGGACTGTGGAGCCGGGCTCCATCTTCTTCATTAATTTTCTGAAGCCTTCTCCTTCAACTATGTAAATGGGTCACATATCCATAGCGATGAAATCTACTATGGCATCTGTTATCTCTATCTTTCTTTTCTCCGTTATCGGTTTTTGGAACTGTAGGGTCTGCTGTATTGTTGAGGATGTTGATGGCTGGGATGCGTGGGGATGCACCTATGGACACAATTTATTATTAGGCTGAGCTACTCAACTTTATGCCAATAATTGCCTTAGCCCCAGATGTTCCCACATTGCTCCTATTATTTTCACTATTCGGATACAATTAAAAAACTAATATAAAAAAACAATTTGGTTCCTTGCTTGCAACTATTTTCCAAGCAAAGTAAGTGCACGTTTTTATCATGTGTAACGTTACTGTTTAAACGGCGGATAAAGCAGCTTCATCATGGCAACTTCACAACAGCTAAGCTAAGCTAGGCTAGTATTTACAGCATCCAGGTGACTTTTCAGAGTTGTTGTGCCAGCGTGGTAGGCCAGTTTCTTATCACATATTTGGCACACTGCCTTCTTTTTACCGTCATCCAATTTAAAATGGTCCCACACAGCTGAAGTCTTCGGCATTTTGTGTTCAGGTGTGTGAAACGAGGTGAAGCGAGGTGAAGCGTGCCGTTTGCGTTCGTGACTGTGAGTGAACGCGATGTCAGGAGCACAGGCTGAGATTGTATATATTTCCGCATTTGAACAGTGCAATTCAAAAGTATAAATATAATATAAGAATATGGCAATTCGGCTTTATTAATAGCATACATTTAGAAACAAATATTATTTTTTTTGAAAAAGATTGTTTGTTTTTTTTAAATAAAAAAACGAATATCCGAATAATGAAATTGAAACCCGAATAGTTGACCAACGAACGAATATTCGAATAGTCGAATATTCGGGTACAGCCCTACAAGGTTCAGAGGCAAATTTAGCAAATATGGCAGTAGCCATCCATCATAATCAGATCAACATGAGGTTAAGAAATTATTGATTTTGATAACTATTTAAGCGAAACCACAACCTTAAATACACACGTTTATTTAAAAGATAAACCTCTTGTGATAAACTCGCTTGACATTGCAGAAAAGGTGATAGGCAGCAGTGGTGTAAAGTAGCTAAGACAATTTACTCAAGCACTGTACTTTACTTATTTCAGGTTAATGCTACTTTGAATTGTAGTGTAGAGTAGAAGTACAGAGGTAAATCGTGTATTTTTAGTCCAATATATTTATTTGAGTTAATGATGTGAAATATAGAAAACCCTTAAATCAGACTTTAGTTACACCTGAGTAAAATTCAGGGAAGGTGATTATCAAGTCCCACAAACAATTTAGCAATATATCTGATAGTGGGTGCTTGAGAAGACTAAACATTTATCTCCAGATCCTTATAAAGCATATTAATTACTCTGTGTGAGCCGTGAGAGCCGTCAGAGATCGAGTGCCGTGGGAAATTATTCAACTTCACTTAATTAGTCCAAAAATATATTATTTAGTTACTGCTAATAATTTGCCATGGTCGCACGTCCGTGCCTGCAATGTAGTGACTAGCGAAGTAATTAAATACTCTTCCATGACTGACCTGCCCAGTGGGTGGCAGTAGCACAATAATGACCTTGTTAATTTAAGACAAGAGAATTAGTGATGCACGCGAGAGGTGTGTGACAAGACGTACAGCGATGGATACATATTTGAATAGGAAAAATGAAGACTCCGAACTGGGCCCTGGACAACATTCTAACCCAGATGAAGAGAGTTACAAGTGGTAGTCAAAAGAAAGCTAAAACGGTGAGCTCAAGAAAATACAGCAAAAGTTATCTTTCGTTTGGATTTACTTTCACCGGGGATCCTGATGCATCGACTCCGTTATGCTTAGTGTGTGGGGAAAAGCTTAACAGTGTCATGGTCCCAAGCAAGCTTAAACGCCATCTCCAAATGAAACACCTGCTACTTCAAAGCAAGAACACAGATTATTTTGTTCGCTTCCGAACAGGAACAGGCAACTTTTATGAGAAAAACTACAACGGTGTCTGTGGGAGCTCTCAAAGGTGAACTCATAGCCAAATCAAAAAAGCCACACTGTGGCAGAGACATTGGATGCTCGGCCCTGATGCGGTTAAAGCAATAGCCAAAGTCCCTCTCTCAGATAACACAATTGCCAGACATATTGATGACATGTCTGCAGACATCGAAAAGGTTGTTTTGGAAAAGATACGCATCAGTGGGAAATTTGCATTGCAACTTGATGAGTCTACGAACATTAGTGGACATGCTCAACTCCTGACCAATGTGCATTTTCTGGATGGAGATGCGATCAGAGCAAACTTCCTATTTTGCAAGCCAATGCCAGGAAAAACAACAGGAGAGGACATTTTTCGTGTTGCATCAGAATATCTTTAACAAGGAGGACTTCAGTGTGAAAACTGCACGAGTGTCTGCACTGATGGAGCAGCAGCCATGGTCGGGTCCACCAAAGGCTTCGGCTTCAGCAGACATGCTGGTAAGGACATGCTCATGTTTTGGATGATGTTGTGTGCATGGTAGTGTTGCACGGTGCACCGATACTAGAAAGGTATTGCGATGAAAACGTAATTTTTTTACGATTCCTCCATTTCATTAGTACTGGTACATTAAGAATGACATTGTTTTAATAAGAGCCGTATTTCCTGTGTGTGCTCAGCACGCTGCTTCCACTCCCTGCAGCCGTGCCTGCAGTGCCTCCCTGCAGCCGTTGTCAGCTCCTCTAAGAGGCTGTGTTTGTTGTTTGAGATGATGCTGCTATTTTACACTGAACAAAAATATAAATGCAACACTTTTGTTTTTGCTCCCATTTTTCATGAGATGAACTCAAAGATCTAAAACATTTTCTATATACACAAAATAACCATTTCTCTCAAATATTGTTCACAAATCTGAAAAAATATGTGATAGTGAGCACTTCTCCTTTGCCGAGATAATCCATCCCACCTCACAGGTGTGGCATATCAAGATGCTGATTAGACAGCATGATTATTGCACAGGTGTGCCTTAGGCTGGCCACAATAAAAGGCCACTCTAAAATGTTCAGTTTTGTCACACAGCACAATGCCACAGATGTCGCAAGTTTTGAGGGAGCGTGCAATTGGCATGCTGACAGCAGGAATGTCCACCAGAGCTGTTGCCCGTGAATTGAATGTTCATTTCTCTACCATAAGCCGTCTCCAAAGGCGTTTCAGAGAATTTGGCAGTACATCCAACCGGCCTCACAACCGCAGACCACGTGTAACCACACCAGCCCAGGACCTCCACATCCAGCATGTTCACCTCCAAGATCGTCTGAGACCAGCCACTCGGACAGCTGCTGCAACAATCAGTTTGCATAACCAAATAATTTCTGCACAAACTGTCAGAAACCGTCTCAGGGAAGCTCATCTGCATACTCGTCGTCCTCATCGGGGTCTCGACCTGACTCCGGTTCGTCGTCGTAACCGACTTGAGTGGGCAAATGCTCACATTCGATGACGTCTGGCACGTTGGAGAGGTGTTCTCTTCACGGATGAATCTCGGTTTTCACTGTTCAGGGCAGATGGCAGACAGCGTGTGTGGCGTCGTGTGGGTGAGCGGTTTTCTGATGTCAATGTTGTGAATCGAGTGGCCCATGGTGTTGGTGGGGTTATGGTATGGGCAGGCGTAAGTTATGGACGATGAACACAGGTGCATTTTATTGATGGCATTGTGAATGCACAGAGATACCGTGACGAGATCCTGAGGCCCATTATTGTGCCATTCATCCACGACAATCACCTTATGTTGCAGCATGATAATGCACGGCCCCATGTTGCAAGGATCTGTACACAATTCCTGGAGGCTGAAAACATCCCAGTTCTTGCATGGCCAGCATACTCACCGGACATGTCACCCATTGAGCATGTTTGGGATGATCTGGATCGGCGTATACGACAGCGTGTTCCAGTTCCTGCCAATATCCAGCAACTTGGCACAGCCATTGAAGAGGAGTGGACCAACATTCCACAGGCCACAATCAACAACCTGATCAACTCTATGCGAAGGAGAGGTGTTGCACTGCGTGAGGCAAATGGTGGTCACACCAGATACTGACTGGTTTTCGGACCCCCCCCAGACCCCCCCAATAAAGCAAAAATGCACGTTTCAGAGTGGCCTTTTATTGTGGCCAGCCTAAGGCACACCTGTGCAATATTCATGCTGTCTAATCAGCATCTTGATATGCCACACCTGTGAGGTGGGATGGATTATCTCGGCAAAGGAGAAGTGCTCACTATCACAGATTTTTTCAGATTTTTGAACAATATTTGAGAGAAATGGTTATTTTGTGTATATAGAAAATGTTTTAGATCTTTGAGTTCATCTCATGAAAAATGGGAGCAAAAACTATAGGTTACTTACGTAACCCCAGTTCTCAGAGTAACATGAAGTGAGATGTCTCACTATGGGATGCGCCTTAACGCGTATGCAAACAGAAGCATCAATCTCATTACGCCAATCCTGATTGGCTGGTGATCTTGACGTCAACGTCAGGGAATCCACCCACCCTTTAAGTAGCTTGCGCTACGACGCAGCGTCATTCGAACACCTCTTCTCGCTTCAGAGCACATCTCAAATTATCAGTAACCGGGCTAGCTTAACGGTCCACAGACTGAACCCAAAGCTAACATTCGGTCGACGGGCGCTTGCCGGTTACTTTTTTGCTTTGCAAGAAGACTGAGCAATATTAACACACCAGTTAATATTGCAATCTGCCTC